CATCAGAGAAAGTCAGTAAATTCTGCTGAGTTATGACAAATAGATATTATGTTCATAGAGTGAATATTAGGCTTCGAAATACGATTATCTAAAAGGTATTCATCAGAACATCCATCTAGGTGATTGAAATGTGATCGAGGTTTAAAACAATAATATATCGAAAGAATTGTTCTAGCATTACAAAATATAAATAAATTTGTTACAGACCTCAACCCACTAGGTAACTGTGATGTTTAACGGGTTTGTACTTACAGATAGAACAAGGTCTTTTGGAATCACAATATAAAGTGTTCTTACAACATATAATAGCGTGAATGACAGGCTGTAGTTTGTCTAAACTCAATCATAACTATCAATAATTGAAATTGAGGTTACTAGCACAAGAATATGGAAGCTTTCGCATTTCTGGAAGTAAATGTTATAAATTTTGAGGGCACTTAATAATAATAATAATAATACATGAACAAATAATATTAGCTTATGTAAATACTCGGGAATATTGCACAATTAACGTATACTACACCATACATTAAGAAATTGGTTGAAATGCAACTGGTTACTAACTATTTTTAAGTAGTATAAATAATAAACAAAAAGAATTGATTGGACTGAGAATAAGGACAGAATACAAACGAACCTAACAGCAACTATCAGATAAATGAATTGAAAATTATTTACCTATGTTGTTTCGCATAAATGCACTCGAGCTAACTAATAAACCATAAGCTTCATATTATTAATAATATTAAGTAAAAAAGTTTTATTTAAATGATCTCAGCGATCGAAATTTTAATAATTCCACGATTTCATTCATCAGTCTTGTCCGAACTTCTTCAGATAAGATATCATCCACGATTTAAATTTTCTTATTATATACAATTCCATCGGTATATTCACTGCTCATTTTCTGTTTTATTTTGTGTTCAAATTTCGACATGTGCATAGAAAGAACGAGTAAAGTTTCTATGTTAGTATGAAGACAAGGCAACCAAAATTTAGAATGTTTGTTTTAGGCTTATCCGCTGAATTCAACTATTCCAAATGAAAAAACACTTTGAAAAGTGTTTAAAACGATAGTGAAAAAGTTTTTTTCTCACTGATTTGTTGAGACGAAATGATATGTTTACACTTAAATCTTATTCTGATTCTTGGACTAGACTATAATTTATAGACCAGTCAATCGGAATCATTTGAGGGATTTCACTGTCACAACACCAGTTTCAGCATCTGATGCTGACGTACGATCGGTTCACAGCGGACTTTAGACAAAACGGGATAATTTAACGGCTAAAATACATGGGACTACTAAGAATATCCTTTATTTATGGTTGTGGTAGTTAAATGACTTGTGGACTTTGTTCAGACTACCGTGATTATGTTATCTTTAGATTTAATATGTGTTGGAGGAATAAGTTTGCTAAGATAGGATGTCTTCGTTCGATTCAACTTAATACTAAGGCAAATTATGACAACTGCTTCGAACTGGATAACTAAAGCACCAGTGACACTGGCTACAGCCAGGTAGCACAGTATATAAGGATGATTGGAGTGTGTACAGACGCCTATATACACATAGTTATGTGCATCGTGTCGTTATCCATAAGTGGAATTTTGTGGACCCAACAGCTGGAGTGCATACAAATAATATTGAAGCTATGTGTTCGAGGCTGAATGATTTTTTCTGATCTTATCATACTTCCCGAGGCCAACTATTATGGAGCTATATAATTGATTACCCCTTCCTTATACATCACGACTTTAATACCTCTGAACCTCCTTCTAACCTTGGAAAATTTTTGGAACCATGTAAAAGAAGTGTATTCACTTTAATTCCTTAGTTTTGTGTAATATATATTTTACCTTATACTGACTGCCTTCTAACTGGTTAATATTTCTCAAGGGTACTTAAGATTCGTTCAAAGGTCGTCCATAAATTAGAGTCTCGCCGATCCTTGTTCAACGTTACAACCCGTTCCTAATTCAATATGATATTTTATCTATTATATAATATTGATTTATTTCATTTACGATGGTTATTAAAGACATAATATTCATTGTATTAAATTCATGTGACATGTAGTATGTGAACTGTTTATGATTCTGAGCATTTTTTGTATATATGACATACTTTTTTTAGATTTATGGTCAAATGTATGTACGAATCAATATAGAATGAATGTATTCTTGATTAGAGTCATCATTTTGTTTTCAGGGTGAATAAAAGTTCACTTGATTGATCACTGGGTGGTGGGTGAGAAAAGTCATGTGTGTCAGGTCGTTCTTAGTGCACATCGAATGCTATCGATCAAGTAGCAATTAGGCCACTAATATAGGTGACTCAACATTGTGTGCATTATGTTGAGATAAGATGGTGGTTAGAAAACATTGACCTGATTGTACCATGTTATATAGATTAACTAATCCAATAGAGCCTCTTTCATTTCTGAGTCAAATTCATTCATTCATTTGGCTAAACAATATTAGGCGTTCGCGCGCGAGACTGTAGGACCTGAGTTCGAGTCCCGTGAGTGGGATCGTGGATACGCACTGCCGAGGGGTCCCACAATGGTACGAGATGGTCGTCTAATGCTTCTACGTTTTCCGTGATGGTCTCACATCAATTGGCTCATGATCTCAATCAAAAACTTATTAATCTACACAACCTTTATACTGATATTTATTATATCCGTCATGTTAAGATTCAGAATAGCTATAAACGCTATATAATCATTTCAAAGACTGTCATTCACAAACCTGATTGTAACCTAAATCTCGAGACCAAAATTCATGATTTATCTGAAAATACAGTTTTTGATATAAAACAAAAAAAAAGAACGAAAATATTACAGATTGTTATAGTTCAAATCTTTAGTTGTCAAGGCATCGATTACATCGCTAAATCAGCGAATAATTATAAAGTTAATGTATTTACCATTAACATTAGAGACTATTCAAATCTATACACTCTGTAGTCATTAAGTTAGATTAAATGAATCTGTTTTCTAAATGTAAAGCTAAATCACGTACTTTTATTATTATCTAATCTGAAATTCATAGTGACCAGTCAATGGTTATTTCAATTGAATACAATTTCTTAAGATTACAATGAATCTATTTTCAAATATTTTAATTACCTTAAATGTTTCTACATCATCTCATATTTGGGTTCATGAGGTTGTATTGTTTTTCTTTTCTTTTTATTTCTTTCTCTTTTTTTCGGTTTTTTTCCTGGATCACGTGGTAGTGACCATTTTCATATACATAAAGAAAAAAATAGCAATCAGGGTGGGTTGTTTAAAAACGTTATTTTGAATCGAGTAATATATTCGAAGTTATATATGGATATATATATATATATATATACATATTGTAGTGAACGAGAACATAAGTGAAGACAATCGAATGTATTTGAACACAAAATTACATAATATCATGTAAAATTCGAGAACCATACAATAAATACTTTATTTTCAGAAGGGGTTTTGCGGAGATTTCAGTCATTTCAATAGTTGAAATCATGATTCAACTAAAGCTCGACTACCATGGAAAATCTGGGGACACTGGACGGCCGTTTCGTTCCACTGTGGAACTTCTTAACAGTGCACATTCACGAAGGTGTAAACTGTAATTTATTCACTGATACTTGACTCATAATGATTAACTTGAATTCAATGTATCTCTTAAGTTATCTTATTACCAAGATTTATTCATATGTCTAATAATATACGCCTGTTAGCCCCAATGGAGGAGCATAGGACGCTCACCAGCATTCTCCATCCAACTCTGTCCTCGCAAATCCTTTCCAGTTGTTTCCAGTTGCTAATCATTCCACAAGGGTTTCTTGTAAATGGATCTTCTTGAAATCCCGTTGCATTTCCTTGTCATTTAAACATCTACAATGTGAATAGTTTGTTTGTTTCCAAGTTTATTTGTAAAAATTATTGCTTTGGAGTTCAGTACAGATGGACAGAAGAGTTCTGTCGGGAAGACAACTTATCTCGTTTAATAAGTAATTACACTGATGATAACAAACATTCTGAAGTTGCTGTGATTTTCTTTACAGAACACGCAAAAGTGAGTTTTATGTATGCAGTGAGAGCCCTTCTCATAACGACCATTTGAAGAGATTCGGAGTTACAACAGATGAATCATTACTTACAAAATGGTCTTCTAGGTATGCAGCAAACTAGAGCTGATGGCAATAAACTATGGAAATTAGTATAATTTACACTCTGTTTGATAAAGTTCGTCTCTGATTTCCTATCGTTATTGACGAATGTTGTAGGATGAATCTTATGATAAACACTGAATAATATTGTACAGACATTTCAGTATGCAGAAAACACGTATGTTTTCGCCAAACTCGTGTTGCTCGATTACTAGAAGGTAGTATACTTATTGTCATCATTATTGCAATTATTATCACTTCGAAGAATAACCACAAATTTGTCATTGTACACAGATTTAAAAATGCATCTGTTGAATCGGTCTTTCTTAAGATAATAGCACTTCCATTTCTTGCAATCAACTGAACTATTATGTGTGATCTAGTTACAACTAGTATATATGGTCAATGATAAGAAATCATTAGAATAATCTCATACGAATACGTGTTGAAGAATTTATAAATGACTTTCACAATATGACACTTAAAATTATCACGGGATCAGTGTGCTAAACTTGACCCAAATCATATGCTTGGAAAGAGTATAAATGGAACTACACAAGTTTATTCCATTGGTTCACGGAGAATAATGTCAGCTAGTTTCATCATCCTGTTTGTTGTACTTACATGCTTCACAGAATGGTCACTTGAGACAGTGGTAAATACTACTGAGTCTCACATCAATTCGACTGAATCACAATCCACTCTGTTGCAGGCAACCCTGCAATCTTCAGACTGTTTACGGTTGTTTGCTTCACTTTTTGGACGACATTATTGGGTTGATTTTTGCGACAGTAATAGTTATATTGACCCATATTTTATGTATTATACAAATATGATTTGTTCACATCGAAGTTATTTGACAACGAGATACTGGATCGTGTATTCGTAAGTTCCTAAAATATTACTCACTTATATGTTTCATGTGGAATGAATGTTACACATTTTGAAATGGTAGATTATTCGGTCACTTCCTGTGTGATACCACGATGAGCGAAATTAATTCCCATCCTTATTTATGATTTTCGCAAAATTTTACTCTACTGAAATGTCTTTCCTAATATTCAAGTATCTAGCATTATTAATTATATTTAGACTTACTACATAAGATTATCACAATGAGCTCTAGATGTATTTCATTGACAAGAACAAGAAAACTAAGCCGATACCTTTTCACATATTAAATAGTGTATTCATGAAGTTAAGCTGGATACCTTGTAGTAATTTGTACGAAATACAATCAATATGGAACAATTCAAAGAGGATTTTATCACAATTGAAATACACCAGTTCACTTGATATTGTTCGCTTGCTGCTTAGGATTACAATCGATCAGTGAACATCAACTGTAGGATGCAGATACATCCAGCTGACGAGTTTTAAATAATATGAAACACTGTACTAATCATGTCATACGTTCTGAGTGATAGTGACTGTTGTTTGTAAGACAGTTATTTTGAAAACTGAAATCGAATCAACAGTTAACTGCAATCAGTGAAGCATTGTATTCTAGTCACAATCAGTCAGCGTCATGAAGTTGCATGTACATAATAGATCCGCTTACATCTATACAAGCGTTAAGCGGGCTAAAATCCTGAGACATTTCATTCATATCCGAACAATGAAAACTTCACTTTCATAGAGTACCTATTACATCTAGTTTTCAAGATGTTTGCTCTCAGGATAATGAAACATTTATACAAATTATAGAAGGAAAAAATTGTGAAAACAACCCCATTTCGAATTCGTTCATAATACTGAGTATGTGTTCGTAGTCAAAAAAAATCTCTTTGAATGTCTGCTGGCTGAGTCATGATACACAGCAAACTTTTAATTAGTTAGAGGAAATAAATAAATTACAGACTTTGACCAACATAACTTGACAGAATAATTTTGCGCCACAATCTTGAGTGGATTATATTACAAGACGTGATGTATTGAATAGATTGATATAATAAAGATTTACAAGAGTCTATATGTCTTGATAGGAATGTCTCCACCAAAAACAATCGTATATCTGGTTGTGATTAGGTGAGTTGCCGATTCAAAATTATCAGTATCATCAGTGTACATACGAGGTCTTTGGATAAGTCATTTCAACTGATTGGTTTGAATCTGCCATTATTTGATAGAAACATTCAGTGACTCGATACAAATGAAATAGTTACAGTTAATTCATTTTCAAAACATTCAATCATTATTAAAATTGATATTTTGTCCAGCCGAAATTTTCAAAACTTTATTTTATTACATAGGCAACACGAATTACACGGTCATTATGTTATAATTCCACCTGGTGTGTGTGTTAGTGATTTAAGGGAAAGAGGATTTTGGTCAGTGGGCTCTGCACTTAAATGCGTAAAACTAAACCAAGTCAATCATCATTTTTACTGTCACAATCCGCGAATAACATGGTTGCCGATCAATCAATCTCCATTCGGACCACCACCGTTTCCCGATCCATTTGAAGATCTCCAGCAGATTAATTATCGCTATCAACCAAATAATAATACGACAACTGAAGTGCCTTTAGCTTAAAATCTATATTATAGAAACCTTTCACCGTTATACAATTTTTCTAACAAACACTACAATATGAAATAATCAAAATATATTTTGCAAACGTACTTAGATGGTGATACTTACCTGGTCCAATTTTATTTAAACAACTCACACAAAATGTTTACTACTCATTAGACATTGATAACGATTACATCAAAAGACTTTATTCATGGTGAGTGCTCTGTGCATTACCGAAGGAATATCATTCATACTGTAATAATATAACAACCTGATCAGACTAATTTATTTTGGACATCTCAATAAATGTAGTTGGCTTATCAACTGATTTTCACCGTATCAATAGGCTTTCATTCAACCCTGCATAACAAAAATATGAATTTAAGATGATAATCTCGAATGATTAGGTTCATCGAAATGAGATTCTAAAGTGAGGTATAGGTGAAATTGTTGTCCCGTTAATTCGAACTTCAATGTCGTTTAATTATGAAAACCTTATCTTCATTCCGTGGATATTCACTGAGAGTTTTATTATCCATGACGTTACAACATACGTTTTGCCATCTAGACTAATTATACATACATTTCCTCGACCACTGAAATACACATTTCATCTAATCATCAAACTTGAGATCACAACATAAGTAATAGAAAATCCAAACTAATCTGACAAACCCATCCCATGTAGTCGACACAATAATATTCCCTATGATAATTGCAACGTAGAAATAGTAGGCTTTAATTCTGTTTACAAAGTGAGGTTTAATCTCCAGTAATACATTAAGCAAACGAATCAATCGATAACTTGACATTAAAAATTACGTTATTATTCATTGAAAATGACATTATGGTAAAGTTTTGTTTTAGGGTTTCATGTGCTAACTGTCAGATAACAAAAATTCCCTAAGAAGAAGGATTAGAATATCAGTGTTTCATAGTAGCTCTTGTGGTGTATCACCTTATTTATATATTACAAATGTTTACGGCGTGATTTTTTGATTCGTCGTGAAAATATAAAGCATTATGATTAGTAATGAAAAATAAAGTCGTATTCATTCACACTAGCTTATTCTTAAGACATAAACATGTAAAGCATACTCGCGACTGCACCACGCTCAATACAGGTGTGCTCATCACAGTTCTAAATGATATTCAGTAGCAACAAAGTTCTCGAATATGATCAGAAGGTGAAACTATTCATAAGTGAACCGCTAATGTGGCCGTTTGCTTCACACTGAGTAAAGTTGAATCAAAGTCGAGTGTGTATAAAGAGAAGAAATCAAAATTCATAATATACAAAACGATTACAATAACCACGTCGATTTGATCCAGCATATAATCGAAGACATTGTAATTTTCTATCCCTCAACTTCAGTAGCTTTGATGTTGCTCTCCATTGATTTGTTTCAACGTTGGTTGTAGTTGTGTCAAATGTTTATTTCCAGTGTCCACATAAGTGAAGTAAAGTGATCCGTGGAATCAAACTGACACCATAGTCCACTCAAGCTGAAAATCATTCAACAAGAATGACCTTTAGTAATCTCGACTAGAATAGGTCGGGTCGTGACATCAGTGATCGGCCAATAAACACTTGAAATTGTCAAATGACATTAGTGATTGAGTGTTTCATGTGACAGAAAATGATTAAAAACCAGTCAATTCATCATGTGAATCTGGTGGAAACCATTGTATTCCGTAATAATTAGCAATGTATTTAGATTAATCATTGACATTTCGTTGCGAAACAATAATATCCAGCTCCAAATTATTTCAAGGCGGCAAATTACTTTTAAACAGTATATTGATTTGTCTAATGAGTGCATAATAATTGATTTTACATGGATGCGTGACTTCTATTCACTGTGGAGTGCGCTGTATTTATCAGTAGGTAACCTTGAATTTCCATGAATTAGAAGTGGAGGGATGTTTCGACTTACTGTGCGATGTCACACAGCTTATTCGGTGCAACCTCGTTGTCCTTGTCTTCTGTGGAAATACGAATGTCAGAATTCTGTCTTCCTACCAAACACATCTCAAATTTTCTATCTACGTCTGTGATCGCCTATCCTGAGAAACACTATATTAACACCATGTGATTTTATGTTGTCATGCGGCTTTAACTACTTCTATGAGATGATAAAGTATCTGTCACATATGATGCATTTTTCATACATATAATTTAGTGTGACCAAGTTCTTCTCTATTTTATGTTGGGGATGTTAGGTCCCCAGAACTCACTTGGTAAATGCATTAATTTTGTAATTTGATTTTGAAAACTTGAATTTACTTGTTTTCGCGCCAAAAGCGCTCTTTTCACCTTCATGCCGTATTTCCTACTTGGCAGAATCTTTAACGCTATTGGTCCGTTGTGTACTCAAGTAGGCTATTTTTGCAACGCCTCCCAAGGACAGTTTTATGCTGTATATATACGTTTGATTTGTGTCTGTTATTATTCAATCGTGCTTCTGGCTTACGGGATATACATTCCTGTTCCAAGCCCCGACATCTCACTCTAGTTAGTGGGTCTGGGACGCATCAAGATAGCTAGCTTATTGGTCTTCGGTCACAAACCTTTCTTCCGTCCGCATACTAAGTGAACTGGTAACCGCTCTTAACCTAGCAAAGCCTCAATGAACAATGTTGCGGGTTGGATTTCATCATAAACACTAAATGATATTGCACGGATATATCATTCTGGAGAGAACATATTTGTATATTCTGAACTGGATGGTCTGACTTTCTTATTTTCACACCAACTTATGAAGAAGGCACACTATGTAATGTTGAAGATTATAATTCCAATTTATGTTTATTCATGTGTTATAACAATGAGTAATCGAAATTGGGACTAGGAAGTGATCGATGGGACCCAATGCACGGCAATAATGCTGTTGCTGTTATTTCCCATCTGGGATGGATACTCAGTTGAACTTCTTCAGTTAGAATACCGAACCTTCAAAAGATCCTCTTGTTGAGAATAGTGAGTGAAACGGTCATGCGAGCAATATAGTACAGAAGTGTTCAGTTCATGCCACCCATAACTAATTAGCTCGAATGAGATCGATTGCACGTGAATATATCAGTCAAATGTGAACGCTCACACAGAAGACAGTAAACATGTGTGAACAGTGTCAATATGCATTGATGTTTACAGCAGAATTCGAAGGCGTAAATTGACCAGATCGAGAGCATCCATGGTTCAGGCTATATCCAGATTTTGCAGGTCCAACGGTGGAAGTGTACTAATTCATGTGAGTAGACACAGATCGAAAGTGGTCTGAAATCTTCCCAGTGTTACGTCGGACGATGCACAAAACATCAGAAGAATTAACGAATATATTTGCATGACACGTTCTACCAGAGACTGTGGTAACTGTTAACGGATATCAATTCACATCCCTCACATTCACTGATTTTCCTATCGAAATGCCATCCTCCACATCCTCTCTTCAACATATCATCCACAATCTAGCAGACAAACCAAAGGTTTATGAACAAATTTAAAAGAGCTGTATTAAAAGCGAAAGCAGAAGAATCTGTGAAAGCTCTCATCCAGAGATTCCTATTCGTAAACATGAGTACACTCAACAGTAGGACGATACAGAGAAAGTCTCCTATGGAAAAACTGACGTGACGGAAACTGCACACAGCAAGTGGTGCAATCAAACCAACCAAGACGGAACGACAGCAGGAAGACACCTTACACAAGGCCAAAACACTAGTTTATGTCCGTGACCAGAGACCTAGAAAAGAAACTTGGGAAATGGAGAAATAAAAATTCATTTCTGAAGGGGCGATAGATGGTATGGGATGGACATGTCACAAGAACCAGACATGAAGAAGACCTGCAACAAGAAGGTAGAACAGCTCTGGTCACTCTCCTTGGGAGTATATAAATTCTAACAGAATCGAGCGTAAAAATGCAGTATCACAGGAACCCACATGAAATTTATTACCACTAAGAGGTAAATGACGTCGAGCGAGTGTTATAGCCTCTGGCTTAGTGCCTTTTTAACATATTTAGTGGCAGTTGGAGAGCAGTGATTGATCGGCTGTATCAACCGTACGACCAGTCTAGTCTTTATCTGTCCTGCCTCCCGCCTAGCTCTGCCTGTCATGTCCAGAACACCAATCTCAGCCTCCGCAATATGAGTCATGTATTTCAAACATACTGGGTTTATATACAAACCAGACGGACCACATCGTACCATAAAACAGAAAATAAACATTCGTGCAAGATTCACCCGAAAGTGGCTGTGAATGTGGGAGGCTGTAATTAATGAACCGAGTCTAACTCAAGAGCTGTAAATCGTATAATGATGGCCTATGGGTTAAAATAAAGCTTATAATGAGGGTGTAGTGACTCACATTTATCGCGAGAACACGATTGGTTTATTGAAAACAATTATCATTATAACCAATTGTACCAGTGACTGTTTTAATGTGCTTTTGTTTAACTGTGTTGAAAACATCCATTATTCACACACTTTGACTTTGACTTCGCGTGAATTCGGCTACGTTCTGTAACCAAACTTGTATTCTGGCACGATCTCGGTATCCTTTCAATACCACGAGATCGCCAGCAAATATATCTCGACTTGGTCTATTAACTGCTTCTGATATTTGGCTTCCGGGGGATTTTATGGAGTCATTTGGCACGCGTTTTTTGGTAGCAGTGTTCATAGTCCATTGCGACTTGACGCCACGCTGCAAGGGAAACACGAATATGTATAGCTTAGTTACTTAACATTTATGCAGTAAAAATATGTACATCGTATTAGCCTATAAATAGTTCCCGAAAACTACCATTCATGATTCTCGCCGCGATATAACACCTCCCTTTCTTTGAAGATTCTGAGTTTAAGTCCAGACTTTGTCATTCTCATAACCCCAAGTTACAATTAATGTGTCTCTATTTAAAACATATTTCCCCGCATTGAATAGACAATCCACAAGAACTGACTACAGGGTGAGGATCAACGACACTTGATATGAGATCATAAGAGTTTGATTCTGCTGAAACATTTTCATCAGATTTACTGAAAATCTCATCATTAGATAATAGATTACTAGAATATTCAGCATCAGTCAAAATTTCACCAGGTTCTTTATTATTATTTGAGGC